AGTATATTCAAACAATGTCTCACCGCAGCAGCCGAGCAAATATATTCACACTGTTAGATCGTGCGACAAACTTATCCACACTCTTGTGCAGAGATTAGCAAACATTCATTCTCACTTACACTTTTAAAAAAAAATTGTGCTAACGACATGTCGGTCATAGGGACTTGTTGGCTCAAGAACATTTCTGTTGCTAACCGTTCGACACTGTCCCTCATACTACGCGACGGGAGTCTTTTTAGACAAGGGTGGGTCAAAGACTGTTGTTGTCCGGTTAACAACAGAATGCTTTTTAGGCTGATCCAAGAGCAAATTTCTGTTGCAGGTGTCCCCGCTGTCCTACCAGCACCAGATAAATGATTTTTTCATAGGGTACTGTAGGCGAGCAAAGAGGTCTATCGTGGGGTATCACATGTACGACCAGCTTCTCTATTTTCCTCGGCCACCGTATCTCATACACATCCACCGCGACCTTTCCAAGTAGCAAGTGTGCACATGCAGCGTACTGCACCGAACGCCAACGAGAGCGAGAGTTCTCCATACCACCGCGCCTAACGCGCACCTCCCCCCCGGCGGGGAGGCGCGCTATCGCAGGGAGACCCTCGCGGCGGTCTGTCACCTCCTCCTCCTCCTGCACCACCACCACCACCACCTGCTGCTGCTGCTGCTGCTGGAGCCGCAAATAAGAAGCTGCGGGACCGGCAGGTGAGAGCTACGGCGCCCGGGCCACACCGCCATCTATCAACGCCTTGTCTCTGGCGACCGCCTGCCTCGGCGACCGCACCATCCGTCCGGTCCAAACCCGACCAGCAGTCACGATCCACGCTCCCCCCTGCTTACTCACGCTCACATTCTACACGTCCTTCCTATTCCGGTGCTGCTGCCGCTGTCTGCTCTACACTGCTAATAATAATAATGAAAAACAAAGGTACCAAGTCGTTGCCTTTCCAGGGGTGCTAAAGACGTTCTCAGTTCTGTGCCTCGACAAAGGCTGCCACTGACTCGATTTGTAGGCTATCTTTTATCGAAACAAATTCAAGCAATAAATTTTTTGAACATATTTCTGCGTTAAATTAAACAGTTTTGTGCTTTAATTTGTACTCAATCATGCATTTTTACGCACAAAATTTCCCGTAACGAATCGTAGGCCTAGGTTAAACTTAGCACGAGAGTTTGCACAGAAAACATACAACTACAGTCACCGTACAATAAAGAGCACAAAAGGAGTTAGGTTAGGTATTTTAAAGCTAAGATTCGCACCTCTATTTTACGTGAATAACGCGAATTCGGTGGAGGACCCGGTCTGTTGACGCATTCTCTTCCGCAACGACAACACGACAATTACTGCATATTACTTCGCGAACCTGCTGCGCCTCCGTAGCGCCCGCCCGCTTCGGGTGTACAGCGCTGGCTAATCCTAGAAAATCCGTTTCCATTCAGAGGGCAAACGGCGAGAGAGAGGGCGAGAGAGAGAGAGAGAGAGAGAGAGAGAGAGAGAGAGAGAGAGAGAGAGAGAGCAGACTCCTTGGCCTTCTCATGCATTTCTCCGTGCATCTCCTCTAATCTCCAGGCGCTTGCTATCCCAGTCCCAGGAGCCCCGACCCCGGGCGTGGCGTGGCGTGGCGTGGCGTGGCGTGGCGTGGCGTGGCGTGGCGTGGCGTGGCACTGCCTGGCCATGCAGCCCGCGTCGCGATCCCGTGGAACAGCCCGAGCCGCGCCTGGATGCCCGTCTCGCGCGCGCGCGCGATTCGCATTCAGCCGCATATTGTGCAATTCAGAAGACGCGGGTGGCGTGGCAGGGCGGGGCGCGGCGGGGCCGGGACAACGTGGTGCAGCTGGGCTTACCTCACCACTAGCGAGGAGCGTAAGGGTCTGAGTTTTGGGGGGCTCCGGCTCTGCTCCTCTCAAGACGCTTTGTAAGTCGCAGACCGCAGGATAATGGGCGAAAGATTGTGTTTCAATCGTTGAGTTGACACACATAGAAAACGACAACGGTTTACTTCTTAGGAGCAGAATTTGTATCTTTACAGTCCGACTGTGCG